TTCCTTTGTACGTGGCCTTCAGTTTCACAGTTTAGGGTTGGTTTCTTGTCACTAATATTCCTTCTCAAGGCATTGAGTTGTTTGGTTAAATAGTCTGTTTTAATTTTCATGTCCAGAGGTATTCTGAAATTGTTTCGTACGTAGCTTCAGCATCACATTTCCAACACTTTAAAATCAGTTTCTTCTCACTCTTACTGCATATCAAAACATTGACTTGTCTGGATAAATCATCTAAACGAGCCACCAATTAATCCACTGGCTCGTGGACTCGCACAGCTCTGACTGCGTAGCGATCTCTACGAGTTGCTAGCTGAGCTGCCCCGAATTTCATGGTGTACACTAGAGCGCTTTTCAAATCTTTGATATCCGCCCTACGCAGAGATTTCTGGGTTTCAGGATACAGGATGCCGACGATAAAGTATTGCAGGGACAAGATTTCCTTGTTTCAGTCGGGTACTCTGTAAAGGCGAGGTGGCACAGCCTTTCAACATCCGTGGAAAGCTGCTGGAGTGTTTCGGTGGGCTTCTGTTGACAGGATTTTTTAATTAAAGCCTGCTGTAGTCTTTCAAACATTTCTCCCCAAATCGCAGCTCCAATGCGGCGAACAGAGTTTCGAAATCTAGCTTTTGATTTTTAGGACCAGTCTGAAGGATATCCGCTGCATCTACTCTCAAAGAAGCGGTGAGATGACAGGCCTTAGCTTTGGAATCCCATCTATTTGCATCCGCCACTATAGAAAATGGTGTCTTATACACTTGCTAGGAAGTCTTCCCATCATATGTGGATAGCTTCAGTGAGGGACCAGCAGGCATGAGTAGAAATTTCAAACCTTCAAAATTGTTTCCTGCTGTCACTGTGCACTTCTTTAAAGTGTCAACTTCTTTGGCGACGGCAACAGAAACCCTGTCATCAATTTTTTTTAGACGGCAGAAGCTCTTCCTTCAATTCATTGCTCCACAGCAGAACTCTTTCTTCTATTTGTTCTTTTAAAGAAGAAACTTTTTCTTCAATGTGTCCACCTTTATTTTCAACAGCGCCAGTTCTGCCAGTTCTGCCTTCTATAGCCTCAAATTTGTTTTCTATTACATAAGCAATCTCTTTTTTTTATTTCCTCTTGACCTATTTTCATTTCTACTTTAAGAGCTTTCATCTCCTCTTGGCTCGCTTTCTTTTTTGCTTTAATAGCCTCATCTCTTCTTTAACAGAATCTTTTCTTCAAATGCAGCAAAGGCTGCCGTGAATTGCCTTAATTGTTCTTCCATCGCTCTTGTGATTGGCATTCAAACCCCACTCCTGACACCAAAATGTAGGTGCTACTTTAGTAGACGGTTGTACGGATTTTTGCGAGTAATACGACTTTGGTAAATTTTTGCTGGATAAGTTTTTTTATTAACCGATAATTGTTGTTTAATTATGCTAAATTCCGAGTTTTTCTTATTTATTGCCTCTAAATATTTTTTTTGCATTTTTTATTTGAGATAAAAATTTTTTTTGATATTTTATGTTGTGGATGATGTAAAGAATAACATTACTTTAAAAATAATTGGTTTTAATATCTATAAATTTAATCTAATGTTGTAAACATTATTTACGGCTGTTAAATATCAAAATACAATTTAATTTTGCATTTTTTTTTTTGAAAAATGATTTTATTATGTATGATCATTTAAATAATTTTAATTCTAGGCATGATGTCATCAATTCTCTGATTGGTTATAGAATATTTGTGCATTAACGAGTTGTAATCAGCTCCCTGATTGGTTACTGAAAATTTGTGCATTACCGCGCCATTTTAAAATTTAATTCATATCTTCGAATTCCTTCAAGGACGAATGTTTGTTATTCGTAAGTACCGAGAATTATTGGTATCAGAATCAAAAAATTGTCCTTTGTACTCCAGGGAAGGGCGGTTTAAATATCTTCGAAATCTTAAAAACAATACTTATTATTGGATTTTTTTTCCCAAATTTTTTTGTTATTTTTAATCTTCATGATACATTAATTTGGCTCTAAATTGCTTTATCTATTTACATTTTTCTTTTGTTTTTCTTAAAAAAAAATTTTTTATTCCTGCCCTTGATATTACATTTTTCACATTTTTTTTCATTGATATCTAAATTATGATTCCGATGTTTTTGTGGTATTTATCAATAACGACAGGTTAAAAAAAAACTCAAAAAAAAAAAAAAAAAAAAAAAAAAATGTAAGTACATATTTTTCTTTTATTTTTTAACTGAATACTTCAATTTTTGTTAAAAAATTAATACACTATTTTCAAAAATTGCTGAGATAATTATTGCCATATATGTTTTAATGTTAATTATATTCTATATAATGTATTTTAAAGTATTTGAATTAAGTAATATTTTAATTCTTTTAAATGTTGGTATAATGTTTTTAATTCGATATTCAATTTAAGTAATATTTTAATCTAAACGTTGACACAATATTTTTATATCCGTGGTTTTATTCTCTTCTTTGCTATATGAAAGTAATAATAATAACCTTACTTTAATATTTTATACGCATAGTAAATGTATTTATTTACACTTGCCTGCCATCTTAAAAAACGACATTTTCAACAAAAAATTAATCCATTACTTTTAACGATAATTTTTTTAAAGTTTTGAATACTTTACTATGCGTAAAAACAGCGTTTTTCAAGATGGCTGACGATAGTAAAAACCACGCTAACGTAAATCGGCAAAAATCCGTGCAACCGTTTACCAAAGTAGCACCAAAATGTATTGCGTGTGTACGAGTTTGTAATAGATTGAATGCACAAGTCCGATAAAAAGTTAATAAAACTTTTTCTAATCACAAGAAATATAACAAAACGCTGGATTATTCCTTGAAGATATTAGTAAAATATCTCAGTATCATGCAATATAAACAACAGTTATATTTTAAGCTACTAAATTTTCAATAGAACGCAATCCAAAGCGCAAAGAAAGCTAATCCCAGAGCAGCTAAGCAAACAACAACTGAACTGAGATATTTTTCTTCTGCTTCCATAGCTTTTCAATTCATCCACACGAGATAATTTTAGCAATTTCTGGAAAGCAGAAGAGTAGAATTATGAGATATCTATTTATTAAATTTTAAAAAGTCGCGTGGTTCTGTATTTTTATTTTTCCGGCATAAATTTCTCTTCAAATAAGTCTTGTACTGTATTGCAAGGGGATATAAAACAATTTTAATTACAATTTTACTAGAAAGAGCTAACTAAATACAAAATCCGTAACAATATGCATTCCTTTTTATGCATTGAAGCAAAATTTAATAAATAAGAGACACTTAATATTAGCTTGTAATTTATTCTCAAATTTTGCCCTACTTGGTAAATTCTCTCTTAAAACTTCGAAAGTTTTCATATGCTTTTTATTTTTAGTTTAAGTGAATGCAAGTTATTTTAATGATTACTGAAATGTTAGAATACTTGAAATAAATATCCGTCTAAGTATTTAACATTTAGCTGTGAATATATTTGAATTACAAAGTGTAGCAAACAAAAATGTTTTACAGGTACCAAACTTTATATTTCAGAAAAGAAGTAAAGATCTGAATTTCATTTTTTTTTTAGATACTATTGCATATATGTATGTTTTAATAAATATTTACTAAACAGACTTTAAAATTTATTCAAAATACTTTTCTTATCATGCCAATAAAGTTTTTGTAAAAAAAAAAAAAAAAAGAAAAGAAAGGGGTGATCCATTAACTGTTTTCAAATTATGCATTTGCCCTGCATGCAATGTGAATTTGTCCTACATAACATGAGTTATTCAGTAATTTTTGGTAGATCATTGGTTTTCTCCTTGCAAATTCTAGGTGTGTTGGGTCGCACAACTTGAAAATATCTTCTTAGTAGCTAATATTTTTTTCTTGAAATCCAGCTTCACACTTTCTAAGTTATCTAGCTTCTCCACTAACATGAGTGGCGGTTTAATTTCTCTTTAACTTCGGCACTCATGCACCTTTTCATCTGGTCCATAAACATTGTTCTTTCAACTCAGCAAAAGTATTAACTTTTAATCCTTTTATACATCCATAAAAATAGGTCTGCCAAAGTTCAGCATATCAGATTCTTTCAAAATTCAAAAAGCTTTCTTATGAAGATAATTTCAATCATAAAATTTAAACTGGCATATTTCTCTTTTAGTTATCAATACTTTTGCTTACAAAACTGCAAAATGTTAAATCTTAGTCCTAATATATGGCGAAATGCAATGCCACTTTTCAGCACATTACTTGGAAGTTCGACATAAATGGTATTTCTTTTTATCAAAAATTTTATGCTTCCTTAAACAGCATATTTCCACCTCAAAATTTAGCTTTTACCTAAAGATTTACTATTTTGCTTATTATAATACAGGAAGAACATACAGAGTACAAAAAAGGATTTTTCCATGAAATTACCCTGTTTAAAAAAATTACAAATATATTATGTGACATGTAAAACTTGAACTTGGACAACAGAGAGCAACATTTCTCCAGAAGAAAAATGTATGAAATTGCACAAACTGGGATGGTATAGTTCATGCATGAAAGTATCTTAACTTTGGAATTGTACCACAAAAATTGCTCTCCACAGTGTGGTTTCAGCTAAGGAAATCTTAGTGCAGAAACAGATTGCTGTTATACCACAACCAGATATGTACCAGATCTCACCCCATGTGACATATGGTTGTCCTCTCTTCTAAGCCAACTTTTCTTCAATTCAATCTAACCAAGGTGACAAAGGCTGGCATTAAAAGAGGCATTTTCCTAGTCTTTTCAGGAAAGAAAAAAAATTATGGAGCTAGTTTGTGTTTTGTTGCTTCAGAGTTGACAGGGTTACATTTGAAATCAAGCATATTTTACAGTTATGAATCATATATTAATTTACAATTATCAATCATATTTTACATTTGAAATCAAATAATCTTATTAAAAGCATTCTCCAAAAGCCTTTTGAATATACAGATGAATGCTAAAATGAGAAGAGCCAATAAAAATTATTTTCTTGCTGTTTTTATTAAAAACTTTATTAGAAATACATGAAAACCTTTTTACTGAAGTAAATAAGAGTTAAAAATAATTTATGAAAAAATATTGTTTTCTTTCTTTTAATTCATTTATTGGTTGTACTTTCTTCTTTGCCTTTCTTTCTCTGTAATCGCATGGGAGAATATCTGAACCATGATTTTATGATATCTTCCATTTGTTTGTCTGTTGCTTCTCTAGTAGATGGGTTACTTCTAACAGCTTCTGCATTGGAGTAGTAGAAAGCAAAACAATGAAAATACACATGGCTAAAGAAAAATAGTAAAAATATAAAGCTTATTATTAACTTGCTAATTTTTATTTGAATATTTTAGGTAAATGTTGTGATAAACTAAAAGTTTTCAAGAGCATGCTGAATTAATTAAATAGTAAAAGGAAATTAATTCAAAGTGCAACAAATACATTGTTTGTCTCTAAAACAGGAAATTAATATAAGAAGAATAGTTTGCATGGTCACAACATAACCTCGCATTAAGTAAAAGTGGACTCTAATGCACACATGTGAATGAAGACAAATTCAATGGTCACATCAGTTGAGAGTAAGATGCCAGTGACTTAAAACATGCAATTTGTAATCATTGCATGTAAAATGACTCAGCCAAAAGAGCAAAAAATCTGCATCAAATTTGTGTGAGGATTTAATATTACCTGCAAAAACTACTCAAATGATTCAGAAGACTTTTGAAATTGATGCAATCAGTGCAGCATGAATAAAGGTATGATAAAAATGATCCAGAGATGACTAGATGTAATTTCATTCTAAAAGATAAGCAATGAGCAAGATGTTAGAAAATGTTGAAGATGTTCAGGCTGGGAGAATACTTACAGGCTGCAATCAACAAGGATCAGCATTACTAATGTTTAAATATTGGTTTTAGCATGTTAATCTAGAATATTTTATTCTGAATAGAGGAAACAATACTCAGGGGAGTATACGAGATTCCAAGATGCTTACTTTGAAGTGGATTTATGCTATGTATAACTTTCCTCATACATTTTTTTAAACTAAATATGCAGTTTTTTTAATATATATTATGGGCATATGCTTTTAAGACAGACCTTTCATAAAATTTTTGGCCTTTGCTTGAATCTTATTACGCAATCTCTGATTTTAAATTATGAAGATACTGTATGCATATGTTTCTAGCACCATGGGGAAACAGCAGTATCTATAGCAACACTTACACACTTTCTTTATTATACACTACATACACAAAGTACATGAATGATAAAAACATGTAGTGTGTTGCAATTTGGCAAAATCATTTTAGAGATCCTTCCAATCTGACAGATGATTGATTGCTGACAGATATGTTGATGAATTCTGAGTCTTATTAATAATCCACTTTGCATGACAAATGAAGCAATGTTTTCATGATATTTACCCTTGGAATTATTGCATAATTTTTTTTCTTTTTAAATTCAGTAAAGAAAATAATGTATCATTTCAAAATGTTCAGCTTTATCTTTCAGTTAATTCACTTTAATTTACCTTTTACTTCATATATGATACTAATTGATACTCATTTGCATTTTTGAACATCCAGATAAGTATAAAAATATAAAAAATGATCCGACTATATAAACTGAGATACTATGATTACAGGTTAATTACTCAGTATTAAAATTCAGTACATTATTCAAACTTTAATATAAAATGAATATTGCAAAATACATACTATAAATCAGTCGACATGATCTAAATGTTTTGAAACTCTGCTTCTCTCCTCGTCCTGCCCAATTAATTTTTGAAGAAACCTCATATGTAAATATTTCTGCAAGTATTCGCCGTGTAGCTTCATCTACTGTTTTACCCCCTTTAATTCCGAAAGCTCGTACCTAAAATAAAACTTTTGTAAGTCTAATTAAGTTATATATTTATGTGTACAAACTATATAATTTAATGCCATATAATTTATATAAATTTATTTAAACTTAATTTATATAATAATTCATTTAATAAATAACAATTATTTATTTGATTTATATAAATTTATTTATTTAAATTTATAACTAAGTGCTTAAAAAGATATGGCTCATACTGTCGTGCATGCATGTATACAATGTTATACATAATGTAAATCACACAAGACAGCCAACATATTATTTGGGATTTGATCCCAGTCGAACTTTTGCTAAAGAAGGCATCTCAGTTCAGGTATGTAAAGAGTTCAGCCATTTCGTTTACTCAGTCACTGGGTAGATGAAGAATCATGAGATGCTGATTTGTTATATGAAACTGAATTGAGAAGAGCATTGTTTTTACATTGGTCTGAGTATTCAAAGAAATTATAAAAAGGCTTTAATTAATAGCTTCACTTTCTTGCTATGCCTTCCTAACTTTTGAATGGAAAATATGAATGAAAATTTAAATTATAGTTTTAATGACGTAAACAAAGAAGAGTTTCCTAACTGAAAGGGTGATATTTTAGAGTTTTAATTCTACTACTGCTTTGGAAGGGAATACGAAGAAGTGGTCGGGCAGCCGCATTGAATTTTTACAATTTATTCTAAAAAACAGTCTCCAAAATGAAATTCCTCTTCAAAATTTCCTTATAAACACTGTATGTATTCCTTGTGAAAGGAGTTTTTCCAGATACAGATAAGTTAAAAGCATCTAAAAATGAGTACTGTATATTTAATATATATATATATATATATGTAATAAAAACAAACTTAGAAGTAATGACAAGCAGAATTTTGATGGCGTAGAAGTGTTGATCCATACTGAATATGAAATTGGAGACGAAGGCAGATTAAATCTTAATTTTTTATTTCAACAAACATGTTTGCATCAACATGCTTCAAACATGTGGCCACAACTTCAAATAGGCCTATCCTATTACATTTTAGGTAAATTTGCAATAAGAAAAAAGGAGCAGACAGGCAGCAGTCCAGCCAAGCCAAAGCATTGGAACCAAGTGCGTTATGTTCAGGGTGAAATCTTAATTCAGACTAAGTTAGATTTGGTTCTCATTGCATCTCAGTTGGATAGTTAATACTGCTGTAAAATTACCATTGACTGTTGAGTTTTAGTTCCATTTACATCATCAGAATTATGTAAGAGTCATATTACATGGATTATTCTCGAAATGATGCAGTACAAATAGAAGTTACTATTTTTAGAATAGAATAGAGAAGGAAAATTAATTTATGCTGTTGATCTCTTACATATTATTTATATACTATACTGTCTGTAAAGGAACAAGTGGAGTAATAAAACAAATTCCTTTAATGCCATTAATGATTTTGCTAACAATAAAAATAAGCAAATTATCAATTTAAAATATTAAAATTAATTTTTTTCTGTAGTTGAAATACTGCACTTAATAATTTAAGACAAATCCCTTTAAATAAATGAATGATATAAATAAATCTTCCTTATAATTGGTACTTTCACTTTATCCACCTAATGGTGAGAAGAATCACTGGCAAAGCGTTATGTCACCAAAGTAGGCAATACAGAATAGAATAAAGATATATTTTAGAGGGTGCAATATCAGATTTTCTTAAACTGCATGAAGTTTTTGCTAAACTAATATTTCACAAATTAATCATTTAAAATTAACTGCACTTCCTTTATATGTATTAGCACTCTACGTTCCTTATGTAGGGAAATATTAAATCTTATCAAACATATATTTGAGAAAGGGGACTACAGACCTTTTTTTCCCTTAAAAACTGATATAAGTTTCTTAAGCACACGATCTTAAAAATGGCAGGATGATCCTTGCATAATATGTTTCGATGAATGTATCACCTACAAGCAGTGTTGCCAGAAGTTTTTCAACTAAAGTAGCAAAAGAAGACTCAAAAAGTCGCAAATGACGTCAGAGATCACGTGATTTTTGTGACATCATAGTTACGTATACTCACATGACCTCTTATGCCATCACAAATTTACTGTCTATTCTTCCGTAAGTAAGAGAACGTATTCGATTCTTAGTCGTTTTAATTATGTATCTTAGCTTTAACAAGAATTTTATAACTATATTGCCCATTTTCAGTTGTTTAAATATCCTAATTCTAATGTAATTTAATTTAGATTTATATTTTAAAATTAATTTGTGTATATCCATTCCTAAGAGATTTCTCACGTATTGTTAGCATTTTTGTATTAAATTTTTTGAGTTGGCAGTTAATTTTTTTAATTAGTCCAAGGGAGCTTTGTCCCTGAAAGACTATTGTTTTCGTTTTGGGGCTGGTTCACTATAAATGTCCGTTTTGCTTTTCAAACTATTGCCACCAAAAGTTAGAGTCCTGCATTATATTTGAAGAAATTAAATAATGAAAGATCTGCATAAACGTATGTATATTTATTGCATTGTGATCAAACAGCGGTACATAGAGCCATCGAATTTTGAATGACGTAATCTTACTGTGAATGTGAAAGCCCAAATTTAAAATTTGTTTTATTACAGATTTCATATTTCGTAAAAACTTTAACGAATTTTTGATTAACAAACTAAAGGATTTCAAAGCGAGCTATTGCAACGCTGTACAGAAAAAACATTTTTATCTCCAGCGTGCGAGACTCTGTATCAGAAATTCTAAAGATATGCTCAGTTTAAAACTATTTTGCGATATTCTTCTTGAACAGAATTTTATGGTTTAAGTGCAAAGAAGATGATATTTAAAAATAAAGGTAACAGGCAAAATGTTAAACAAAAATGCCCCTTTGGATGTAATTTAAAACCTAAAACTTTCAGATTTTTACTTTTAATTTTTATTCTTTGCTTAATTGTGAACATTTTAATTGAGAAATGCTTTTCAGTCAGTTTTCAATTTTGTGTGGTGGATTTATTTAAGATTCTGATTACTTAAGAAAACCTTGTTCTTTCACTGTTAAATTTATTTTTGTATTTATTTAGAAAAATGATATTGCTTTGATTTTGAAGTCATTTCCATTTGCTTAGTTCTTAGCAACATTGTAATCAGGAAAATGAATTTCATTTCTTTTCCTGTTTCGGTACCCAATATATGGCATGCAAACTGCAAGCTCTTTTGTTCAATTCATTATCACCATAGAAGTGGGACAGACTTAAAAACCAAAACGCATGGGGGATGAGCGGGGAAAGGTCCCAAAGCAGTTTTTCTTTCTTTCTTTCCCAATTTTTTTGAAGTCGTAAAAAGTAGCATGAGGAAATCATGGAGATCACAAAAATTTCGCAAAATCGCAAATACTAACGCTTTAGTAGCATTAGTTTGTAAAAAGTCGGAAATTCGCAAAAAATCGCACGATATAGCAACACTGCCTGCAAGCTGATTCATAAGATGATCATGATGCAGAAATTGAGTACAATTATGTATTTTTTTAGCCCAAAGGGTGTTAGTCCAGAAGGGCTATTAATTTCATTTTGGCATTTTGCATCAAAAACTTTAAATGTCCATTTCACTTTTCAAATTGTTGCCACCAAATATTATCGCTCTGTGTTATATTTAAAGAAATTAAATAATGAAGAATCTGCATAAATCTATGTATGTTTCTCGCATTGTGATAAAACAACAGTACCCAGAGCCATTAAATTTTGAATAATGTAATCTTCCATCGCATATGGGCATCTGAAGGCCCGAATTTGGAATTTGTTTTATTATCAATTTCATATTTTGTAACACTTTTGATTAACAAACTCAATGATTTCAAAGCGAGCAATGGCCACACTGTACGAGGAAGAGGGAGGGGGGTATCTTTATGCGCAAGACTGTATATCGGAAATTCTAAAGATATGCTCTTTTTAAAATTATTTTGCGATAATGTTGTTGAATTGAATTTTATGGTTTAAGTGCAAAGAACATGATATTTAATAAATAAAGATAACACACAAAATGTAAAAAAAAAAAAAAAAAAACTATTACATAAAAAAGTGGTACACTTTACTTAATCAACAAAATAATTCACCTGGAAAATGCAGTTTAAAGAACTCAAATTAGTAAGTAGAACAGTTAGTAAGAATAAATAGAACAGTAAGAATAAAGCTATGTAAGCAGCAATTGTGAACAATTATATTGCATTTAGACTATTTGTAATAAATTAAAATCCACATGACCTGGAAAAATTACTGTTTCTGTCTTTTTTTTAAATATTATTTTGAGGGAGGTGGTTCAAAAAACAAGTTATTGCCTTCTTCCAATCATGATAAATAAATTATGCAACTAATGTTAAATTTTAAAAGCAAACGCAAACTTATTGATTTAAAAAAATAGTTCTCAAATGCTCAATGTATCCTCTGCTGATATGGTGAACATCTATGGACAAACTCTTTTGTCCCATACATCTCTACCCCTGGGGGTTGACTCAGGCAAGCACCTGGGAAGTGCTGGTTAGGATCTGTACCTAGGCAGTCTCAACCACGGGGATATAGCAACAGACTTCACAGAAAGTCTGAGGGCTCTTGGGGCAGAGTAAGGGTCGGCAGGGACCGTACAGGTACTGCCTTGTCTGCCCCTGCTCTTTGGGGTAGCAACATGGTAGATTGTAAGAGCGGCGGGGTGGCATTTAATTCCATTTGGTACTTAGCCTCAGGTCGGAAGCGAAGCTGTCTATCCGCAAGAGTTGTCCCATACATCTATCAGTAATCCTGGAAATTCATAGAGAAATGCAGGCATAAAAACAATATCCTTGACAATCCCCTTTTGAAAAATAATTACATGAGAATAAATCCTATGACTGGTGTAGCCAGTGTATTAATGCAATGTTTCCTCATCTGTATACCTTACTGACAAATTATGATCACGATGTTCTTGCAAATAGTCTCTACTTTTAGCAAATTTAAGATTGATCAAAAATAGCCTTTGTGAAAATGAGCCAAACAAAAGTCTTGTTGAAAGAGGTAGCTATTCCTGTTTTTCCAACTTTTCATCATGCCCAAATATATCTGTCAATAATACATAAATATTTGTCATGTCAGCAAATGTGAACATACTGAGTGGTTATAAAATAAGTTTTTTTAAAAAAGAAATTAATCCATATTATTTCAATATAATAAAATTTGACATTCACTGCCTGCCTATATAATTTATGAATTTTTAAAGTTTGACAGATTAATGAGTATCTCTGTATATCATTAATTTTTAACTAACAGAAACACATAAAACATAATTTAATGGCAGTCAATACTACAAACTAGAACAGTCTACATTCTTCTTGAAATTGCTCAAAATCTTTAAAGAATGGGGAAAAGTTGTGTATTACTTTATTAAATTCATTAGAATAATAAGGTTTAAATGAAGAGAAAGAAACATCTGAAAGATGAAAAAGTACTTACATATTATATAGTAGATTGTGAAAATTGGCTAACATCGAACTTGAAAGTTAGCGGCAAAAACTGTTAATGCTGCACCAACTATTCCTGTGGAATTCTGAAGGAAATGAGCACTCTTTATTTAATAAACAGTCAGTATTTGACTCACTTTGTAAAAAGGCTATGTGTAATTTTTACCATTTTGTCAGGCTCTGAGATTATACTGGAAGATTCATTTAGAATGCTATGATAACTAGATTTCTGCAGATGATTGTTTCCATTACTGTTTCATTGACTATATGCAGCATACCGTATCATGTTGATTAAAAACACATTTTTTTGATGGAAGTATTCTATAACTGAAAATAATGTATTGCTTGCTGTTCTATCGAAGGTAGGTCTCAAATTTTAATATCGCTTTTCAAAATGCAAGAAAAGATACAGCAATAAAAATTAATTTATAATCCTTGTTCATAAAAACAACATGGAGTGTATTGAGAATCAAGTAATACATCAAACAAAAGCACAAATATTATTATGAGTGTATTGTGACATTTTGTTTATCCATAACTGGTGCTAAATTATGCTGCTTGGCAAGTTTCATGGTTGTAGTAATAATATCGAGGTTTACCAAAAGTTTCCCGCCACCACAAATATCGTCTGTACAAGCAGTTCACATTGGCGTGTTTAATCATATTTTGTTAAACAACTTTTGGCATTTGAAAGAAGGAGACTTGCTTTAGAACACTGTGGTGTGAAATTTCTGAAAAAAAATATCACTATCATTAAGTATAAAGTGTTTGAAATGAAACTATCATGCTACCAAATTAGAACCATAATTTATTTCCAGTTCTGTCGCAAAAAGCTACAGAATGTCGCCAAATCATGTATACAGCTTTATGTACTAATGTTGTATCATATGACGCATATGTGAAGGTTTGGTACTGAAAGTTAAAAAACAAGGACTATGACATTCAAGAAGCACAGCACTCTGGCCACCTACGGATGCTGATGAGGACCACCTGCGAGAACTTGTGGCAGAAGATCAGCGAGCAACCACTCAAGAGTTTGCTAAGGAATTAGATGTTAGTGCCTTGTCCATTAATTGCTCTATACATCACATAAATTTGACAAACAAGTTCAATTGCTAGGTGCCACATGAGCTGAGTCAAGCAGATAAGGAGAGATGTGTTCGGGCTTGCACTAATCTGCTTGAATATCAACACAAGGAAAAAAATTCTGGACTGGATCATCATTTGTGATAAAAAGTGGATTTACTTCAACACAGGCCAAAAAAGGGGTGGGTCTAGACCTGGTGAGCTCATTGGCAGCATCACAAAGCACAATTTGACTAACAAAATGATTGTGTTTTATATCTGGTGGGATTGCTATGTTATTATCCAGAAAGAGTATCTGGGAAAAAGTAAAACCTTTGACATTAAGGTGTATAGTGAGATACTAGTGTGTATTGATGTTGTTATCTAAGAAAAATGTCGAACTGAGTTCCAGAGCAAAAAGGTAATGCTCCATCAAGATAATGCAAGACCATACGTGTCTGCATTCACCGGCTGGACTCTGCACGGATTTAAATGGGACCTTTCAACCCCCCGCCCACCATCTCACACCTGCAGCTACATCTTGCTGGTGCTATCTTCCATTCTGAACAGGATGTCCGAAATGACGTTGATGTGTTTTTAGACTCACATCTCCTACGTTTCTCGGCTGAAGTCCTGAAAAATCTATCAAAACGTTGACAGAAAATCATAGATGTGGGTGGTGACTGCTACCCACACTAAAGGTACTGCTTTTTTTTTTTCCCTAACTTTATTAAGAACGTTTTTTGGTGAAAAATTTTCGTTACAACCAGATATATAAGTACTGATGCAAATAACAAATATTTCTTGTAACTAAATTAATTAAATAAACACTTTTAGTAAACTTTCACAAATTTTATAAAACATTAACACTTACCAAATTTTTGAAGTTGTCATCGTCTGATATTATTTCTTCCCATAAGTCAAGTTCATCCAGTGTTTTAAGTGGTAGCATTTTCAGAATATCTTCAACTGGGTCATCAACTTCCATCTTTACATTCGTTGGAACATTTTGCTCTAGTACAACATTCACTGGTGAAAAATTCATTAAATACTTTATATCCTTACGCATATCTGTTATTATTTTTAAAAGTACTCCTTCTGTCTTTCCTAGAAAATAATATAGTGAAAATTTCACATACATAATACGCATATAAGAAAGATAACAGAAATACAAAACGTAATTTTTTCAAGGGGGAAAAAAAACATTTTCAAATTTTGATTTAAAAATATTATCTATTTAGTTTCAAAATGTTTCTTAACAAATTTCTCTTCAACTTCTTCAATTAGACTTTCTTTCAGTTTTACATTCCTTAATAATTTCAAAGATATAAAAAAAGAGACAGAGAGGAAGAAAATGGTTTCCCATTATAACTTGGCAAGAAAAAATAGAACATCTTTTATATTTCGAAACATTAAATTCTCTTCCACACTTTATCACATGCAAACTCAAATTAGTCTTTCATAAACTTGATATGTTGGCAGGGCCAAATTTAGACTTGATGAGGCCCTAAGCTATTTGAGATTGCAGTGTTCTTTGAGATATGGTTCCTTAACATAAATCTAGATAACTAATAACTAGAGGCTGTACCTTAACATAAATCCACTACTAGATGTTATGCAGTGCAACTTACAAGGTAAGCAAGAGTGTTAATGCTACCAATTCAAACAGAATAATTTGATTTTCAAATTCAAATATGTTACCTAAAATGCATATCTTTGTCATCAGAATTTCTTGATGAAATAAATAATTTAAAGGACTATAAAATTAATGTAACGACTATAACACTAACTATAATATAAAAGACTGGATCAGTTCGATACAGCAGGATACACAAAAGCTCTGCTTGTAGGGTTGGTTTGATTATTTGAATATGGCAAAGCATTTGAGGCCTAAAATCTAGATAGGAAGGCATGCCTTCATGGTGGACTTTAAAGGGAAATGGCTCGTATTCGAAATTATTTCCAGACTGACATGACCCATTTAACCTCCTTTTGTAAATGCTTTTTCACCCCTCTAATATCCACATATTCCACTGTAATTCTAAATTTTTTTGAATGTTTTATTGATACATATGATATTTAATGATATTTTATATTTATACACATCTAAATCTTGAACTTAGGGCTTTAATCCACCTGGAATAACTGGCATGTCTATATTACACTCATTTAAGAATTTCTTCATATTTTCCATTTGATGGGATCTGAACATATCCCCAAACTAAAAAACTTTCTGAATTCTTTAAGGAAACAGTACGTTTTTGGCAAACGTCATTTTCGTCCATCCATCCTTACTCGCGAACATGAATGAAAACATCATTTGGGAAACTGCATTTCGGCGTCATCTTTCTTTTAAAAATAATTAAAGGTTTTAATTTTGTACTGAAGTGGAAATGCACTATGGTGAGATGAGATTTATCGTGACTTGTTTTAATATGAACTGTTTTTGTTCCTTTCATATCAATTGCTTCATTTCCTACCATATCCTTCCATTTCCAAACACTACAGGTCTTTAATTCATGTTTCAAATATGTGACAGTAAACATTTTTTTTTGCCTTTGTTGGTCAATAACACACTTCTACAAACTTATCAGTGTTGTCCAAATCTTTCAGAAGCCTTTGCGAAAATATTTTCTCATAGAATTAAATTATTCTGTGCCATAAACGACTACAATGATTCGCTTTAAATTTTTTACTTTTATTATACAGTCAAAAGTCGTTAATTCGGACACCCATAATCCGGACTTCAAAGCTACAAACTTTCTGCGCATGCGTCAGGTGTTTATGCATGCGCGTTTAATATATAACGGACGATATAAGCTAAAATTATCTAATTATCTATTTCAGTTAATGTTGCAGATTGCAATGTTCCTTAATCTTCGAATTGGATCTGGCTGATTATTTTTTGCAGACTGTTAGAGCAATTTTATAAAAGTAAGCTTGAACTTTCGATTATGTCAAATAGAATTTCCGATGTCGGAGCTTCCAAAGGATCTACAAAGCGAAAGTATGTTTCGATGTCCATCAAACAAAAAGTGGAATTGCTGGAAAAAATGGATAAAGGCATATTCTTTGTTTCTCTAACCATTCCGAAATCTGTTTATCAATTTGACGCTGCTCTGCGGTGGGGAAGGGGGCGGGACGCTGCGGCTCGCAATGAATTGGAAGTTGATCTGTCAGCACTATCCTTATCTTCAGGGCAGATGTTTTTATTTTATTTGGCTTATAATTCCTTACTAAATGTAGTATTTAATCTTTATGTACTCCGTCTTTGATATGATTTAAATCAAATACCTCATCATTATAATTTGGTTCCGATAGTGAAGAAAGTGACACAGAGGTGAAACCAACTTCACTTAAAGTTTTAGCAAAAGATATTGTATCCATATTATTCTTCTCTCCGAATTACACGTCTATCATTCAGCCTATGGATATGGGAATAGTGCACACGCAAAAATGCAAATATAAAGTAGCATTCTTAAAATCTATGTTAAATTTCTTGAACAATGGCAAGACTATTCAAGACTTTTTGAAATTTTTTAGCACAAAATCTTTCGTGTGGAGCATCGCAAGATCGTGGGAGGATGTGAACGTTAAAAAATGCTTGGCATAATTTATGGCCAGCTATCACATTTCATGGTGAGGACGATGAAGATGATAGCCGCGAATTTGAAGGTTTTCAGACATCGCAAACTAAAGGTGAAATTTTCCAGTTATTGGATTTTGTAAAGAAAGTGGAGAAGCAGTAATAAATGAAGATGATATAACAGAAGTTTTTCATTGTGACAACAATGCCCCAATCATCAATCAATTAACGGACGGCGAAATCTGTAGTATGGTTCTAGATCCAGAAAATACCGCTTCCGATAGTGAAGAAACTGACAGAGAGGTTATTGAAAATGAAAAAATTTCGATTGGCAAGTTAGTCGGTATTCTCGACACAGCATTTACAGGACTTGAACAGTGAAACTTTGTAACTGATCAAGAAATTATGTCTGTTTATAGAATTAAAGAGAAAGTATTAGCACAATAAACAAAGCAACTTAAAAACTTACATTGAAAGAAATGTTTAATAATGTAAACAAATATTAAACTTTTTTGTAAATTTTGATACCCTTTAGATCATAATTGCTCTTTATTTCATAAATTATGGTTTCATATCTTTAATTGTATAATTTCTGCATGCCATCTGGGAAAAATCTTTGAATGAATGATTACCAAAGATTAGCATGATAAGCACTGGACATGTAACTTTTAAGTTCCTTTGGAAAAAAACAAAGTTGTGCATTATACTGCAAATATACCTACAAATTAAAAAAGTATCTTGAAAGTATAGCTGTGCATTATATGCCAGAATATATGGTAAATAAATAAATGGTTTCTTTTCTTATTTACATGCATAGTTATTTAATGATCCACTGCATGTACACAATGTGCTGTGCTCTCTTAAATTGGAAAAGCATTTTTTTAAGACTAATGATTATCAAAGCACTACAGAAAACAAGTTAAGACATCTATTTCCAAACACAGCATTGGTAACATTAAACACATAAAAAAATAAAAGCTTATTCTGATAAAAGGTGTTAAAAGAGTTAATGATTTTTCATACTGCTGTGTTATCAGGATCGAATTCAGAAAGGTATGCATGCATGCATGTATATATAGATGTGTTCACGTATGCACGTCTTCCCTGATTTCAGAAAAGACAGTAATACCTTGCTCGTCTGTTATGCAGACGACACGGCGATTCTTATCACGTCAAGATGCCCAATTCATGCAATGGCCAAACTATAAGAGAAGATCTCTATTATTGAGTGCTGGTATGCGAAATGGAAAATGTGCATCCAGCCAGACAAATCACAAGTTCTATTGATACGCAAGTATCGTACGCAGGATAAAATCACCAACATCACTCTCTTTGGACAGTATGTTCCCAAAGTCAACCAGGCTGTTTACCTGGGAGTTATGTTAAAGTGCCCATTCACCTGGCCAACACACATCAGATGAGCTCGTAGCAAGGCCTGGGGAGTTGCCATGAGACTATATCCCGTCCTTAAAGATCATATGCTATGTCCTTAAAGTCCTGATGCTAAATCACAAAAGGCATATTTACCTTTCTGTTATTCAGCCCATATTTACATATGCCTGTCCAATATGGACAAATGCCAGCAAAAAGGATATCTAGTTTCTGCAGATAATACAGAATAAGATTCTCAGGATTATCACTGGAACCCCATACTACGTACGAAAAAATCTTCACGATGACCTCAAAGTTCAGCTCATCTCCGAGTTTCTGCACAGACTATTCGCAAAATTTTAAGACAAGGCCGTCAGAAATACATCAGCCTGCCTTTCGGACATTTTTGCCTATGAAATACTCAACGAGGACAGGGATATCAGGCCCTGTTCTCGATTAAATCCTACTACACAGCATTTTTTCACGAAAGTGAGAAAATGCAGAGCCAAGACATCAGCAGCAGACAGCATTCCGCCTAGACCACATACTAGACATATTTCATTCAAATTAACTGTACTGAAAAATATACTCAGGACTTTACTACTTTTGACGTTTGTGTAGTAGGATTCAAATGACTCCTGATTATACTTCAACTCATCACACTCTCACCACCAGTGAGTCTGAAGAGACGTGTCTCATTTTATTAATCTCAATTGGTCACATCTTTATGGTGAAATAATAATGAAGAGCCATTATGTGTCAGGCCCCTAGTGGGAGGGATTCCATGATAAGTTCTGGTAAGAGCAGGATAAATTCCTGCTGAACACCAGAATATGCAACTAAAGCATCAAAGTATGCATGTATATATATGTAAGTATGTGCGTACATATACTATTTTTTTTTTGCGCAGTGTACATATATACATTTATGTACACTGAGCGAAAAAAGGGGGGCGGTTCTATACCTTCCCTTCTACTGGGCTGATTGACGAAATTCGACTTGCCTTTATCATGTATCGAAAGTGCAACTTAGGATATGTATTAGATTTATATATAGCAATGTTCTAATATACGTATTTTGACACAAAATCATACCTTTTCTGAAATGACATGCCAATTTTTTTCCATACTTTGATTTTATGACTTAAATTATGCCAAACTGTCAAGTTTCGTAAAAATCGCAGAAGTAGTTTATCAAAAAACTATCTCTCAAAATTTTAGCTCCTCAATGCTAATTGAATTTGGTATATATTTATTAATCTCTCTTTTTTATTAAATTTATTTGATTCTTCCTTTCACATTTCGAAATTTAGGTTCATTCCAAATAAAATTCGCCCCCATTTTTCATGATTTAAAAATTTTTTTAAAAAATTTTCTGAAAAAATTTTACCATCACCTTAAAATAGATGCACTTCTAAGCATATCTGCAAAAAATTAGTTTTTTTATTCCAAATTTCCTAAGATATACGTGAATTTATATTTCGGCACGTTTTGAAATTTGGTGTATTTACTAAAAGCGATAATAACGAAAATGTGGTTTACTTTCTTTGTTATAATTATTTGAAAGTATGAACGATGACATTTTTTCTGCTCATGGACAGTGAAGAAAAAGGAAAGGAAAATAGGTGGTTTTAAATTAAGAAGTTCGCCGAGTGAATTATTCTTAGCGCAAAATGAAAAAAATGCGGAAAAATAAATTTTTAAATTTCTCACCAAAAATTACAAAATTTAATATTTAGGCATAATTTGAGTTGTAGAATCAAAATAGGGAAAAAAATTGGTAAGTTATTTCAGAAAAAGTCCAATTTTGTGTCAAAATACCTAGGTTAGAACAAAGCTATATATAAATCTAATATATATCCTAAGTCAAGCTTTCAAGATATGAAAAACGCAATTTAAATTACAAAGGGAGATATAGAATGTACCCCTCATTTTTTGTTTGTTTCGCAGTGTACATACATACATTTTTTAATCTGGTCCTGATAACAGAACAGTACCTGATTTTTTGGTGAATTTCATCATGATGCGGGAGATGTTGGCTCATCATGGTCAGGAAGCCTCTAAAGGCAAGTGTTTTATCTGATTTACAGCAAAATAGCTTTTGAACTAAAATTATGTAGCAAACATTAAAGATCATTTTAAAGTATTCAAATACATTTAGATGAAAAACATATCAATTAGATCCGAATAAACACACTGCTAAAAAATTCATACCATTAGATATATTACAAATTATAAAGACTATAAAACATATCTACATTTCATAATACAGAAATCTTATTGCACATATATTTAATCCTGCCTGTATAAAATGCACCTGGGGAATGATCACTTACAGTATTAAAATTTGTAAAAAAATATTTATGAAATATATTGAGACTTCCAAAATTAACTTCTTTAGCTTATTGTGCATTAAAAAAATTTCTTTGAACAGTATGAATTTTAGAAGTAACTGACAATTCTGCAAAATTAAAATAAAGAAAGCAGGGTTTTTAAATTAATTTCATACTTTTTGAAAATTAGTTTTGACTTTAATAAAATTAATTTCCCTTTTTAATTTATGAGCTACTATCAAATAGTTCTAATTCTATTGGTGTACTGATATATATAACCATATACATGTTTATAAACAGATTTTGCAATATTCTGAATAAGATAAAAGTATAAATTTTTATTTTTATTGCAATACAAAAATTTATTGTTTCATTTCATAATGAAAACTCTTTTTTTATATAAGAAAATTAAGGGGGCCCAGCAATAAAAAATGTGTAGGGCCCCTTGATAGATTTATCTAGTCTTGATCAATATATTTCATATTAAATGATGTAT